CTATCAACAATCTTGCTGCTGTTATCATATACAATATTAGTTTTATTTCACCCCGTGTAAAACCCTTAACTATACCCAATAAAAACAATTGTGGAGAAAATTGAATTTTTTTCTTCAAAACATTCTGCATGACCCACCATATTTTTATCCAAAAAGCCTTAACTTTCCTACAGGTCCACCAAACATGATAATACGTAGCATCCAAACATTCGCATCTCCAACATTTTGGCTGAACATTAGGGTACATACATGACAACTTTTTAGGATCTAAATGCCATCTTTAAAACATTTTATAAAAATTTTCCCTCAGGTTCTGCGACTGTGTAAATTTAACATTCTGAACCCAAATTTTTTCCCATGTTTCCAACATCACTGGTTCTTCAAAATTTTGTGCCCACTTAATCATACAATCTTTAACTAATTCAGTTTCTGAGTCCCTTTCTAACACAACATTATAAAGCCTCTTGATATGCATTGGACCTTTCTCTCTTATATGTCTAACCAATTCTTCCTCGTGCAACATAATACCAGTTTTTTGGTCCTCTTTCCATCTCAGTTGTAATTGATTATATTGTAACCAAGTTAAATTAATCCCTTCGTCCAACAGTGTCTGCAATGTCTTCAGCTGCCATCTGCCCGCATCTGTAAAAAGAACCTCTTTGTATAAAAACCCCCCGAGTGACATTATATTTGTATTCCACAAAGTATGACCAAGATCCAACCATAACGGTATTTTATAATCCCATTTAAATCGGTGCTTCTTCCAAACTCTCATCAAAGAGTCTCGAAGTATATGACTTTTAAATACTTTATCAACTTTGTCGTCATAAAATAAGTAAGCATGCCATCCAAATTCAAGATCAAAACTTTCTGCATTCAATATTGATGATGATCCTGCTCTTCTCTCCCTCCTCCTGTGATGGAAATCATGTTATTTCTTATATAACCAATTATGATTGGCTATATTGATTCTCTGCTTGTATCTCCCTTGTTGGGATGAATGGATCTCTCTACATACAAATGATGATTTTTAAAAGATTTCTGGGTGGGGAATGAGGGAATAAGTTTCCTTTTTAAAATCTTCAAAACCTGCTTCAATAAAATGTGTATTGTGCATTATGCCTTTCCCTGTTTCATGCTTTGTTTATTTTCTTTCATCCTTCATGATTCCTGCGTAATTGAACAGGCTACAATCATTCCGGTGGCATGCCGCGAAGAGGGGGTTGAGGGTTTTTTTAAGTAAATTGGGTAAATTTTTAAGGGGTCCCGGGGGGGGAGGGAAAAATTGGAACTAGGGTTGTGGGTTTGGGGGAAGACCCACCAAGGGGAGGGTCAGGCCTGGCCATTATGCGCGGCGGAGGGGATGGGGGATCTGGAGATGATGGGAGGGGGTTGAGCTTGTCCAGATTGTGTTTCTATCATCGGTACTGTGAATGGGAGGGGTAGATATGGCGGGAGCAGGGGGCCATATCATGTTAAGGGAGCACGCACCTGCTGTCTCCGAGTGGTAGTGTGCTCCGGCCCCCAAGGCTCCACTCGTTCTCCAGGTTGTACAGACCCTCAGGGCCCGGGCCTTCGACTGATGTTGTGCAACGCCAGGTCCCTAATAAATAAAGCCCCCCTCATTTGTGATCTGGTTCAGGGGGGGGAGCGGACCTGGTGGGTATTACGGAGACCTGGTTGGGCCCGGAGGGAGGGGTCCCTCCAGTAGAAATGTGCCCACCAGGCTTCCTGGCATTCCATCAGCCGAGGTCCCAGGGGAGGGGCGGGGGAGTAGCGGTTATTATTAGAGAAGGCCTTAGGCTGAGGGAGGCCACTGTTCCTCAGACGGCCGGTTGTGAGACCCTCCTTGTGAAGTGGGGTCATGGGGTTCAGAGGGGTTTGCTGATCACGTACCTGGCTCCCTGCCACATGGCAGCAGCCCTGCCCGAGCTACTCAACGTTATCGCCACGGTGGCGGTTGATACCCCCAGACTTATGGTCATGGGGGATTTCAACCTGCCGTCCGTGGGTGAGATGTCTGAGGTGGCTCGGGAGTTCATGGCTTCCATGACAGCTATGGATCTGACCCAACTAATTCATGGCCCTACGCACATGGGGGGAAACACACTGGACCTGATTTTTGTCTCTGGACAGTGGCTGAGTGATCTCGAGATAGGGGACATAGTCATCGAGCCCTTGTCATGGTCGGATCACTCTCTCCTTCGCCTTGACCTTCGAACCGCTGCACCCCACCGCAGGGAGGCGGAACCGATGAGATGGTACCGCCCCAGGCGCCTGATGGAACCTGATAGGTTCCAGATGGAGCTTGGGCCAATTCCTGAGGTTCTGGCTCACGCCTCAACTGGAGATCTAGTGGCCGCCTGGGATAGGGCGGCCGCTGGAGCTCTGGATCAAGTCGTGCCTTTGCGGCCTCTGACCCGGCGCCGATCTCACCTGGCTCCTTGGTTTACTGAGGAGCTGAGGGAGATGAAGCGCCGGAAAAGACGCCTAGAGAGTAGTTGGAGGGCCAGTCGTTCTGAATCTGACCGGACACTGGTAAGATCTCATATTAAGAATTACCTAGTGGCAATAAAAGCAGCAAAATGCACTTATCTTGCTGCTCTTATTGCGTCATCAGATAACCGCCCGGCCGCCCTGTTTAGGGTGACCCGCTCCCTGCTCCACCAGGAAGCGAGGGAGGACCCTTTGGAGGGAAGAGCTGAGGATTTTGTTCAGTATCTGTATGACAAAATCACTCAAATTCGGGAAGATCTGGACTCTGACTGGGTAGATCCAGCGGGGATGACGGGGGCAGGTCCTGAGAATGTTATCTGGGACGAGTTTGATTCTGTGACCCCTGAGGACGTGGACAGTATTCTGGGTAGACTGAATGCAACCACATGTTTGTTGGACCCGTGCCCCTCCTGGTTAGTGCTTGCTTCCCGGGAGGTGACGCGAGGCTGGCTCCAGGGGATTATAAATGCTTCACTGGGCGAGGGTGTCTTTCCCGCCGCCTTGAAAGAGGCAGTGGTGAGACCTCTCCTCAAGAAGCCTTCCCTGGACCCGGCAACATTGGCTAACTATCGTCCAGTCTCCAACCTTCGCTTTGTGGCGAAGGTTGTTGAGAGTGTGGTTGCACGACAGCTTCCCCAGTACCTGGATGAAACGACGTATCTAGATCCATTCCAGTCGGGTTTCAGGCCTGGGTACAGCACGGAAACGGCATTGGTCGCGTTGGTGGATGATCTCTGGAGGGCTCGGGACAGAGGTTGTTCCTCTGTCCTGGTCCTATTAGATCTCTCAGCGGCTTTTGATACCATCGACCATGGTATCATGCTGCACCGGTTGGAAGAGTTGGGGGTGGGAGGCACCGTATTACAGTGGTTCTCCTCCTTTCTCTCCGACCGGTCGCAGTCTGTGTTGACAGGGGGGCAGAGGTCGACCCCGAGGCCCCTTATATGTGGGATGCCACAAGGATCGGTCCTCTCGCCCCTTCTGTTCAACATTTATGTGAAGCCGCTGGGCGAGATCATCCGTGGTTTCGGGATGGAGTACCATCAGTACGCTGATGACACCCAGCTGTACATCTCCACCCCAGACCACCCCAACGATGCCCTTGAAGTGATGTCCCGGTGCCTGGAGGCCGTACGGATCTGGATGGGGAGAAACAGGCTCAGGCTCAACCCATCCAAGACCGAGTGGCTGTGGTTTCCGACGTCCTGATATAGTCAGCTGGTGCCATCGCTGACTATTGGGGGCGAAGCATTGGCCCCCACGGAGAGGGTTCGCAACTTGGGTGTCCTCCTGGATTCACGGCTGTCTTTAGAAGAGCACTTGACGGCCGTGACAGGGAGGATTTTTCATCAGGTCCGCCTGATTCGCCAGTTGCGTCCCTTTCTGGATCAGGACTCATTACGCACGGTCACTCATGCCCTCGTCACCTCCCGTCTGGACTATTGTAACGCTCTCTACATGGGGCTCCCCTTGAGGAGCACTCGGAGGCTCCAACTGGCGCAGAGTGCGGCCGCGCGGGTGGTGATGGGAGCGACGTGGCGCTCCCATGTAACGCCTCTCCTGCGCGAGCTGCACTGGCTCCCGGTGGTCTTCCGAGTGCGCTTCAAGGTTTTGGTTATCACCTTCAGAGCACTCCATGGCTTAGGACCTGGCTATTTACGGGACCGCCTGCTGACACCAATAGCCTCCCACCGACCAGTACGCTCCCATAGAGAGGGGCTCCTCCAGGTGCCGTCGGCCAAACAATGTCGACTGGCGGCCCCCAGGGGAGAGCCTTCTCTGTGGGGGCACCTACGATCTGGAACGAGCTCCCCCCGGAGATACGGAGGATTCCAGATCTGCATACCTTCCGTCGCGCGCTTAAGACGTTCTTATTCCATCAAGCTGGCCTGACCTAAACTTTTCCTCTTTTTAAATGGAATTTTAAATTTGGTTTTAATTTATTGGGGTTTTAAAATGGTTCAGCCAAATTTATTTAATTAGTTTTATCTTTATTTTAAATTTTGTATCTATATGTTTTATTTTATGGCTGCTCACCGCCCTGAGTCCTTCGGGAGTAGGGCGGTATACAAATTTAATAAAATGAAATGAAATGAAAATTCCTCTGGCAGAGCAGATCTATGCAACCACATATGTTAGAGGTTCAAAGCTTAACTTCACCAGACAGAGATCCTGATGCAGCTCTTCATACAATACTAGTAAACTTTCTTGAAATTGTTATTTATTTATTTATTTATTTGTATCCCACCCTTATTATTTTTACAAATAACTCAAGACAGCGCCCATATCCAACACATCTTCCTCCTATTTCCTCACAACAACCTTGTGAGATAGGTAGGACTGAGAGAGAGTGACTGGCCCAAACCCACCCAGCTGGCTTTCATGGCTATGGCACGACTTGAACTCACAGTCTTCTCCTTCCAGCCTGGTGCCTTAATTGTGAGACTAAATTGGTTATTCATGAAAATGTCAGGCTCAAAATCAAGGATAACACATGGTAATTTTTGCCGGCAATTTCTTTATTGTTTCACACCTACAGACAAAATATTTCGTATTAAAAATGCTACTATCAACTTCTACAATGTAGTTTGAAAACTATTAAGTAAACTATTAAGGCTGTCTTCCCCACATTTTTCTCTCATACAGAATATCTGGACTGAATCATCTCTTATTCCTATGAAATACGGCCCTTCCCTCTTCGGAATCCACCTCCTCATTACCTTCCAGCACAGGTATTTTGGTTAGAAAATCAAGGATCAGCTTATTGATGGATGTCTTGTCTGTGAGCATCTATTATCTGTGGGATAGCAAGTATTTTTTAAAAAGTATTACCATATATACTTGTAGAGAAGCCTATCCATCAATAAGTTGAAACAATGGTGTATTTAGGGGTGTATTTTGGCACCTAAAATTCTCAGCTTCTTTGTGAATATATTCCCCAACCTGATATTCTGCCAAAGCATTGTGAGTTCTAGATCTTGAAGTCCTAATACATTCCTCCTTAAAATTCAGTATTGCTTATGCCCTCGTCGGTTTATTAGGAGTTGAAATGCTGGTTATTAAATTCCTTTTTAAAAGGTTAGTAGAGATTGTCAGCAGTAAAAACCTACATGGGACATGGTGAGCATACGTGTACATTACATTAAGGTTTTTCTTTGAATCAGCTTCCAAAATGCCCCCTTGACATCCTTGTTTCTCAGGCTGTAGATCAGAGGATTGAGCATGGGAGTCAGAGCCCCGTATGTTAAGGATATGACCTTGTCTTTTTCAGAAATGGATTTCCCTTCAGGTCTCAAGTACATGATCATAATTGTTCCATAAAAGACACTGACCACAGCAAGGTGAGAACTACAGGTGGAGAAGGCTTTTCTGCGTCCCTGGGTAGAGCTGATACGTCGTATAGCCAGGCCTATGCGGATGTATGTCACAACTATGAAGCCAAAGGGAGGGAATAGCAGAAAGAAACTGGAGATATGCATAAAGAGCTCACTGACTCTGTTGGAACAAGCCAGTTTGAGTAAAGATTGCAGTTCACATGCAAAATGGTTAATGGTGTGATGGCCACAGAAGTCGGTGGGCTGCAAGAGCACGTTGACCAGTGTCGTCATGAAGGCAAGGGCCACTGACATGGCGACTAGATAAATGCATAATTTCCAACTCATGATCTGCGTGTAATATAACGGCTGGCATATAGCTGCCAAGCGATCATATGCCATGACTGCCAAAATGATGCACTCTGCTACAATTAGAAATAGACCCATATACATTTGGACCAAACATCTAGAGAAAGAAATTGTGGGCCTGTAGATGAAGCAGTTCACTAAAACCTCAGGAAGTGCATTGTTGGTAAGAATAAAGTCTACTGTGGAAAGGACACAAATGAAGAGATACATGGGGGTATGAAGTCGGGGGTCAGCAATGATCAACATGATGATGAGTCCATTGCCAAGAAAACTAATGAGATACACCATCAAGAGGAACCAAAAGAGAATAATCTGACCTTTGGGATATTCTGATAATCCGATCAGGATGAATTTGATCACCAGTGATTCATTTGAAGTTCCTATCTTATTTTCTCTCATTCTCTCCTGCAGGAAAGAATGAATGGTTGATTACTGACAACATTCAAAAGAGATGCAATACTTTCACTTCAAATTTTTAGATTGCCAAAGCTGTATAGAAAAAATAAAAATGAAATAAAAACTGCTTTGAAAACCGCTTTGCGCATCATGCTTAGACAGAATTTGTTTTAACCATGATTTATTGAATACAATTGTTGGATTCTCACATGGGTAGATTCACACATTGCATTAAAGTATATGTTGTTTGCAAACTGCTGTGACCACGTAAAATGGCACCAATTCATTCTTTGGGAGGGTGGAAAGATTACAAGAAAATCATGTTACTATTCAGAATAGAAAATAGGCTGATGCTTTTATTAGAAAAAAATAACTATATTCTAGGTAGTCCATTCTCAAACTATCCAGAACACGTTTTTTGTGCTGTAGTAGAATCCAAAGGAGAGGTTATAAATCAAATTCTTGGTCTCCTCCTTGGGCTGTCATATGCCATGAAAGATTAAGATTGAGAACGGAGGTTGGTTAGACAACTAAATCTCACAAAAAGAAAAACATTCTTGCAATGAAAGGTAAAGAGAGTAGAGAGAAAAGAATGCTTGCAACAAGTTCAGCCTTATCAGAAAAATAAGCATTAGAATTACCAGAAGACAACACAATTCATTTCAGTAGCAGTTCCATTCCCATTCCGTTTTGTTTTGGGGGTTTTTGCCTCAGTCTTCTATTTAATTAAAATCTACATCTAGACTTCCTTTTTCTGTCCCTTCTTATCTTTTTGAATTAGCCTTTGTTCAGATGGATAATTTAAAGGTCATTCACCCTATTTCTTTCTCAGATCCTTTAGTGGCAAACATAAGAGATAGTCCTGCTATGTCTGTAGATGTATGCGCACACAAATACAGACACACAAACATCCCCCCTCCACACACGCAGATATGATGGAATTGAACATCTGCTCCTTGTGCTCACTTCATAGCAACTGCATATGAATTCACGATTTATTTTACAAATACAAGCAGAGAACAACTTACCCACTTAAATTATCTTCTGTATTTGTCTTTTTATCTCTGAAGTTTTGCTTATCCAGTGTTCTTCCAGTGATAAATGGTCAAATATGGTCTCTGCATCATATATATGCAGTACGCTAAGCGTAGTGGTCCTCATTGCATTTGCTTTTACTTCTGAGCCACAGCTCGAGAGGAAAAACAAGCACTTAAAGGGGAAAAATATTAGCAGAAGGATAGTGTCTTAGATCTATTTTTTGCCTTGGCATTAAGAACAACAGTCAGTTCCTTGAGGTAAAAGGGGTTTTTTTTCATTCTCATCTTTTCCCCAGTGGGTAATAAATGCCATTTCTGCTGGAAGAAGGCCGAGCTAAAATTCCAAGGACAGGTCTTTAATTGCATTTCAAGGGAATTTCCTGCCCGTTAGGTTTAAAGTCGAAAAAATAAATTATTTCATCATTTAAATTCAACTGTGCCATTCTTTTCCAGAAGGACAGCTTTACAGCAAAACCAATCTTTTTTAGTTTCTCAGAGACTGACAACATTTATAGCATAAAATGGCTGTAGAAGCCAGTGTTCTGGTGTGCTTCACAACCAAATGAGAATCCAGCAGTGGGAGAATAGTTTAATGACCACATAGAAGGGGGCAGTCCCACAGGAAGCTTGCAGAACCAATGAGAGACTCCCTCCTGAGGTCCCCGCGCAACCTGTTTTTGGCCAGTAGAGTGCTGCTGGAGGCTGGGGAGGCCAAAAATGGTCCATGTGGGAGGCCCGTGTGGTTGCTTTTCGGCCCATTTTCGGCCCATTTTTGCCCCCTTTTCAGCTGGCAGAGTGCTGCAGGAGGCCATGTAGGGTGAAAATGAGGCATGGGCGGCTTGTTGTGGTTCGCCAGCAGCCTGCGCGGATTGTGGCTGATCCTGATGACGAGGAGGCTGGTGTGGTGTCGCGGCAGCAGCCTGTGCAGCCGGCGCTTGAGTCGAACAGCGAGGAGGCTGAAAAAGATGTGGTGCCAGAGGCAGAGATTCAGCCAGGACCTTCAGATCCTCCAGAGGCTCCTTCAAGTGAAGAGAGTGAAGTGGAGGAGCCTCTTCTCAATGCACGACCACGCAGAGCTGACAAAAGGCAAGAGTGTTTACTCAGGAGGAGGTCTCCTCGAGAGTAAGTCTTGGGGCTAATTGGCCACTCCCTTAGCCTATTTAAGTTTGCACACAGCTGGCAAACGTTGCAGGAAACAATGTGTGTTCGCCGGTCGTTTGTTGAGCATTTGAGAGTGAATTTTCCTTGCAAACCTGGTTTCTGGGCTAATTGCCAACTCTTTATCTAATCTTTGGAATTTGTGGCAGGCTGTTAAGGACATTTTTAGTAATAGCCTGCATTTGAAAAAGACTGTGTTTGTAGTAAATGGAGTTGTTCGGAGTTTTGTGCGTGCTACATTTCTTGGGTTCTGTAGCTGGGGCAGAACAGGGCTGCATGTGGCATGTTTTAGCCAGCAGAGGCACCGTGGGCCAGTCCTTTGATATTTTCAGGCCTGTCCCATGGGCCGGATTTAAGCATCCCACAGTCTGAATCCGGCCCACGGGCCTAAAGTTTCTATCGCACAGTCAGTGGGCCAGTAGGAGGCAGGTTGTTGCATTCTTGTTCACTGAATGCATTGGCCCTGTATTTTTTAAGGACCTGGGGGCAGCCTGGTGATGATTTGGCACCAGTGGCAGCTTTCTCACAGGTCTCCGGGTCAGGTGGCAACACCATCTGTTGGGCTTTGCAATGAGGATGAGGTGGCAATGGTCCCACTCCTAGTCTCACCTTCCTACAGCCATCCTCCCATGTGATGGCGGGTGCCCATTTGTCAAGCAGGCTAGACCCAGAATAGCAATAGCAACACCACTTAGACTTATATACCACTTTACAGTGCTTTACAACCCTCTCTAAGCAGTTTACAGAGTCAGCATATTGCCCCCAACAATTTGGGTCCTCAGGATGACTGACTGTGTCATTTTTGGTGCCACCACAAAGCAGATAAGTTCCCAGTGGTGGCCGATCTCCAGCCTCACCAGCTCAGTGACTAAGGTGGCTGAGGCTCCACCTATTAATGTCCCATCAACCTGCTCGAAGCATATCAGGCACACCAGTGGCTTTGTGGTTATTCCTAGTGTCTGGACGGTGGGAAGGCTGATTAGGCACTGGGTGCATCTGGTGTCTATGATGGCCTCTATGTCTCCCTGGGCTACTGTCCTAGGCACTACTATTCCTGCCTCTATGGTGAAGGGTCAGATTGCTTCACTTACCATCAAGTCATCTTTGCTGTCACCTCTGCTGTCACTAGGGGCAGCTGGCAGGGTTTCCAGGGCAGGAGTTCCCTCAACCTTGAGAGGAGGGAGAAGATCTCAACGGCTTGCCAGGCGAGCTTCTCTTTCTCGGCTGGCTTGCATGGGGTCTCCTTTGCCACTGTAGGGGTCCAGGCCTGAGGGATGGGGGATGGAGCCAGACACTCCGATGCTCGATGGCCTTGTTGGACACATCTAAAGCACTTAATGGACCCAGTTGGGCTTGGATTTGGCTCTTCCAGCTGTCTCTAGCTTGACCAATGACCTAAGGCTCTCTTGGGTTTCTTCTCTGGAGCTGCTTTTCGATGCAGGTGGATTTTGAGGCTCATGGCCACCGCCACTCAGTACCACTCATGTATGCGTTTGGGGACACCCAGGCAGGTGCATCCTTGCCACAGATCCAGGACTCCTTGAAGTAATGGACAAAGAGGTGTTCAGGCCAGTAGCACAGTTTTCCCACCACTCTACAGAACTCCCACACCAATTCATTTGCGGGGTAGTCCTTTTGCTTGAGGTCCCTGATCTCAGATTCGGCCTCTTGTCCTGGGGCCATGTCCTCGAACCATGTTCTCAGCTCCTGCAGGAACTCATCAGCATCTCTAAGATTGGGGGGCCCCTTCATCATGCAGTTGAAGGGGCCATTCGGCCGTTTCACCTTCCATGTTGTTGGTGATGGATAAAATCATCTCCTAGTCCAATTGGTACTGGTGTCCATAGCAGTCAATGTGAGCCCAGTTTCAGTTCAGGAAACAAGCCAGCTTCTCAGACCTCCTATCAAAGGTGGCCCTGAAGCACGGTGGGGCAGCTGGCAGTGCGGGCAGGGGTGGGCACCATGGGTTCCGGTGCCCTTTGGCACTGGATGCATCCTGTTCTGACCTAGGCTTCCTTAGAAAATAAACAGCATAAACTTAGTCCCGGCAAACCTCTTTAATTCATACAGCTGTAAATTACTTTCATTTACAGTCCGCAAGGCTTGATAAGCAGTCTTTCAGAGGAAGGTTATCAATACCCACTTATCTCACGTAGAATGCTGCCAAAGAGCTAATTTCCAGATGCAGGGCAAGGCCAAACTTGGAACAGAGTCACAAACAGAAGTTTCAAATCTTGATCAGCCAGATGAACTAACTGCTTCCTGAAAAAGCTCACGTTCCGTTCGCTTCTCTTTTATGTCTTATGGGAAGGGACAATCATCTCCAAGCCTTACTCCAAAGATCCTGTTTCCTTAATTGTTCCTGTCTCCTGGCAGCTCTGTACATGCATACTCTGGGAACAGGCTCACGCTGTTCTTCTGCCTTGCTGATATCAGACTTCGGAGACTCCAGAGACAGCAAAGAACTACCAGATGGTCTTGGCTCCCTCTCTGCCTCCAACTTAAAGCTGTCGTCTGAGCCTTCCCCAGACTCCAGGACTGGCCCACATTCCACCCCAACCTCCTCACTGTCCGAATCTGCTGCCAGCTCTGCTGGACTCTGCTGGGCCACAACACATCCCTGGCCGGGGTGGTAGGCCCAGCCAGGGGGGATTTAGTCCACCAGTGGCAAATGGAGGGGTTGTTGATGTGGCGGTCTGACTGGCCTTAGCAGGCCAAAAACACCCTGTTGCAGCCCCAGGCTGGACTGGCCAAGGGGTCTGACGGTTAGGCGGCTAACAGAGTTTAAGCTGTCAAACTGGTAAATTGGGCCTGCTGAGGGAGACTTGGGCATTATCCACTGTGCCAAATGGAACAAGGAGGAAATTCTGCTCGGGGTGGTCACGTTCTCCTGGGTAGGAAAGATGAAACCTGGCTTAGGACCTGGTTATTTATGGGACCGCCTGCTACCACCAATAGCCTCCCACCGACCAGTACGCTCCCATAGAGAAGGGCTCCTCCAGATGCCGTCGGCCAAACAATGTCGACTGGCGGCCCCCAGGGGGAGAGCCTTCTCTGTGGGGGCACCTACTGTCTGGAATGAGCTCCCCCCGGAGATACGGAGGATCCCGGATCTGCGTACCTTCCGTCGCGCACTCAAGACGTTCTTATTTCATCAAGCTGGCCTGACCTAAGTTTTTTCCCCTTTTAAATGGAAATTTTAAATTTGGTTTTAAATTATTGGGGTTTTAAATTTGTTCAGCCAAATTATTTAATTTGTTTTATTCTATTTTAAATTTTGTATTTATATGTTTTATTCTATGGCTGTTCACCGCCCTGAGTCCTTCGGGAGTAGGGCGGTATACAAATTCAATAAAATGAAAAATGAAATGAAATGAAATGAAATGAACATCGGCTGGACCAGGGCTTGGTGGTATTGACTCAGGGTGCTGACACTCAGTTGACCGACCCTCTCTGGCAGCCCATCCAAGGTCTGGCTTTGTGACAGCAGTTGGGTGCCCCATTCCTGGGACTCACTGAGGTCCAGGGACTGCATGGCTCTCCACTCAAGGACAGTGGTGCTCTCTGCCAGCGTCAAAGCAATCTGGCATTCCTGGAGCATCAGGTGGCCAATTAGGTCCTCCTTCACCCAGTAGAGCTCTTGGGCCATTGACTTTGTCTTTGTCATATCACAAATATCCATGCCACACATATCTCACGTCATATCCTCTTACTCTACAAACATTCTATTTCACAGCAACATTTTTCATCCAGCAAGCTGCAAAATACAGCAGCAAATCAGGTAAACTCAATCCTCCTCTTTTCTTTGTCTCTTGTAGCACCTCATATTTAACTTGCAGGTTTTTTCCCTGCCACACCAATTTAGATATGTAATTCCATCACTGTTTAAATGGTGCACAAGATGTCAAAACAGGTATTGCCTGAACTTTTATTAGATTTACAATGTTCTAATCAAGGAATCACCAAGAAAAAACTCGAATCCCTACCAAAACTGGTAGAGAAATTACTATATATAAATAGGCAGAAGACCCTACTCTCAACTACAAAAATGGGATACGGTCTGGATTGAGAAAGGAGATTTCACTGTTTTCAGCCAGATATGAGTTCTGTGTAGGTTATTCTTCCATGGCTGAAACACCATGCAGTGATAGTTGTCAGCGTCTTTTACGGGATACCACTTAGGAATTTTGTGCCTGTTTGGGATTGTATACTGATTCTCTCGGTGTTCTTTTCATACTTTGTTCTTTTTTTTCTTTGTGCCTAAAAAGAGATTGAAAAAAGGAATTAAGCATTTCTGCATTCACCGTTTAGGTCATTCACACGTGGAATCCTTCCCAGTCTCTCTAGAAACTAGAAACAGATTAACAGAGTTGGAAGGGACCTTGTAGGTCATCTGGTCCAACCCCCTTCCCACCAAGCTGGAGATCCTACACCATTTCTGGCAGATGGCAGTCCAGTCTCTTCTTGAAAGCTTCCAGGGATGAAGCTCCCATAACTTCTGAAGGCAACTTCTGTTCCATGGGTTGATTGCTCTCACTGTCAGAAAATTTCTCCTTATTTCCAGGTTGAATCTCTCCTTGTTCACTTTCCATCCATTATTTCTTGTCTGGCCTTCAGGTGCCTTGGAAAACAGCTTAACCCCCTCCTCTCTGTGGCAGCCACTCAAATATTGGAGCACTGCTATCATGTCTCCCCTGGTCCTTCTCTTCACTAGACTAGCCATGCCCAGTTCCTGCAACGGTTCATTGTATGTTTTAGCCTCCTGTCCCCTAATCATCCTGGTTGCTCTTCTTCCTTTTTCATGTGCATCAAGTGCAAGACACGTAAAATGATTGGGGCTTCTGGAGACCGGAGGAGACTGTTTTCTCCCTCCCAGAAGCTCAAGGAAAGTCTCAGAGCCTGGGGAGGGTGAAAATGCCCCCCCACCACGGTGTAGGAGGCTGAGTAGCCCATTCTCCCCATAGCCACGTCTACCCAGCAACCGGGCAGAGAACCAGTTGCTAAAATTTTTCAATCCCACCCCTGAATTAGACTTAAATTTATATACCGCTTCATAATGCTTTACAGACCTCTCTTTTTTTAAAAAAAAGTGTTTTTTATTTTTGTTTTTCATAAGCATATTTAAATGTACAATCTCTTATCCATCATTAATGCATTAAAATGCATTAATGCATCATTAATCATTTGTTAATTGTTTGGGACTGCTCTTTTACCATTTCCTCTCCTTTGTTTTTCCACAACCTTTCCTCTTCCTCTTTCCTTCTCTTCCTTCTTCTGTCTCTTTCTACTTTCTGCATTCCTCCTCTTTTACAACCCTCTCTAAGTGTCTTATAAAGTCAGCATATTGCCCCCAACAATCTGGGTCCTCATATTACCGATCTAGGAAGGATGGAAGGCCAAGTCAACCTTGAGCCGGTGAGACTCGAACTGCCAAATTGCAGGCTGCCGGCAATCAGCAGAATTAGCCTGCAGTACTGCATTCTAACCACTGCGTCACCACAGCTCACCACCTTGGAATGAGCTCCAAAGGATCAGAGAACTGGATTTGTGAACAGCATAGTAGTAAGCGAAGCAGAGAGAGAGATAGTTTGTGAAGCCTCCAATTATAGGATGGGTAGGAAAGGGGGCTACAGCAGCAGATCATTAGATAGGAAACTCTTAAACCAGCAATCAGCATTTAAAAGTAATTCATAATGACATTATATGGTCAACAATTAGAGTTATCTAAAAGTTACACTTCTGTGTGTCCTTCTAAGACACTCTTAAGGTTTTGGGCAGGATTTTGTGAGCCTCTGGTGCTCACCACATACTTCAGACTAAGTCTCTTCAGCCCTAACAGAGATTATGGCAAGTTTATATGGGAGTCCAAACTATCTATTGGGCATCAGTGGCATATAGGCTTTATTATGAGAAATAGAAACTCAGGACTCTTTTAGCAAAAGCAATTATTTTCCTTTGATTTTAACCCGGGGAAAAGGACATTCAATGAAAAACTAGCTCACCTTGAAAAACCCTGAATCTCTTGAAGATATCATCAAAGAAAGTATCACACATGATTTAGAAAGAAAAGCAATATTCTTATTCTTACTCCTAGGTATGGCTGGTCAGACAACTGCCAAGGAAGAGATCTGTCAAAATGGACTCGGGGCTGCAACCTCTGAGGCTGATGATCCTGCTCTTCTCTCCCTCCTCCTGTGATGGAAATCATGTTATTTCTTATATAACCAATTATGATTGGCTATATTGATTCTCTGCTTGTATCTCCCTTGTTGGGATGAATGGATCTCTCTGCATACAAATGATGATTTTTAAAAGATTTCTGGGTGAGGAATGAGGGAATAAGTTTCCTTTTTAAAATCTTCAAAACCTGCTTCAATAAAATGTGTATTGTGCATTATGCCTTTCCCTGTTTCATGCTTTATTTATTTTCTTTCATCCTTCATGATTCCTGCATAATTGAACAGGCTACAATCATTCCTCTGGCAGAGCAGATCTATGCAACCACATATATATATATATTATATATTATATCATATATTCTTGAAATTGTTATTTATTTATTTGTATCCCAACCTTATTATTTTTACAAATAACTCAAGACAGCGCCCATATCCAACACATCTTCCTCCCATTTCCTCACAACAACCCTGTGAGGTAGGTAGGACTGAGACTGGCCCAAACCCACCCAGCTGGCTTTCATGGCTATGGCAGGACTTGAACTCACAGTCCCCTGCCTTCTAGCCTGGTGCCTTAATTGTGAGACTAAACTGGTTATTCATGAAAATGTCAGGCTCAAAATCAAGGATAACACATGGTAATTTTTGCCGGCAATTTCTTTATTGTTTCACACCTACAGACAAAATATTTCGTATTAAAAATGCTACTATCAACTTCTACAATGTAGTTTGAAAACTATTAAGTAAACTATTAAGGCTGTCTTCCCCACATTTTTCTCTCATACAGAATATCTGGACTGAATCACCTCTTATTCCTATGAAATACGGCCCCTCCCTCTTCGGAATCCACCTTCTCATTAGTTTCTAGCACAGGTATTTTGGTTAAAAAATCATGGATCATTTTATTGATGAATGCCTTGTTTGTGAGCATCTATTATCTGTGGGATAGCAAGTATTTTTAAAAAAGTATTACGGTATATACTTGTAGAGAAGCCCATACATCAGTAAGTTGAAAGAATGGTGTATTTAGGGGTGTATTTTGGCACCTAAAATTCTCAGCTTCTTTGTGAATATATTCCCCAACTTGATATTCTGCCAAAGCATTTTGAATTCTAGTTCTTGAAGTCCTAATACATTCCTCCTTAAAAATCAGTATTGCTTATGCCCTCGTCGGTTTACTAGGAGTCGTAATGCTGGTTATTAAATTCCTTTTTAAAAGGTTAGTAGAGATTGTCAGCAGTAAAAACCTACATGGGACATGGTGAGCATACGTGTACATTACATTAAGGTTTTTCTTTGAATCAGCTTCCAAAATGCCCCCTTGACATCCTTGTTTCTCAGGCTGTAGATCAGAGGATTGAGCATGGGAGTCAGAGCCCCGTATGTTAAAGATATGACCTTGTCTTTTTCAGAAACAGATTTCTCTTCGGGTTTCAAGTACATGATCATAATTGTTCCATAAAAGACACTGACCACAGCAAGGTGAGAACTACAGGTGGAGAAGACTTTTCTGCGTCCCTGGGTAGAGCTGATATGTCGTATAGCCAGGCCTATGCGGATGTATGTCACAACTATGAAGCCAAAGGGAGGGAATACCAGAAAGAAGCTGGAGATATGCATAAAGAGCTCACTGACTCTGTTGGAACAAGCCAGTTTGAGTAAAGATTGCAGTTCACATGCAAAATGGTTGATGGTGTGATGGCCACAGAAGTTGGTGGGCTGCAAGGACACCATGACCAGTGTCATCATGAAGGAAAAGGCCACTGTCATGGCTACTAGATAAAAGCATAATTTCCAACTCATGATCTGCGTGTAGTATAACGGCTGGCATACAGCTGCCAAGCGATCATATGCCATGACTGCCAAAATGATGCACTCTGTTACAACCAGAAATACACCCATGTACATTTGGACCAAACATCTAGAGAAAGAAATTGTGGGCCTGTAGATGAAGCAGTTCACTAAAATCTCAGGAACTGCATTGTTGGTAAGAATAAAGTCTATTGTGGAAAGGACACAGATGAAGAAATACATGGGGGTATGAAGTTGGCGGTCAGCAATGATCAATATGATGATGACTCCATTGCCAAGAATGCTAATGAGATACACCATCAAGAGGAACCAAAAGAGAATAATCTGAGCTTTGGGATATTCTGATAATCCGATCAGGATGAATTTGGTCACCAGTGAGTCATTTGAAGTTCCTATCATAATTCCTCTCATTCTCTCCTGCAGGAAAGAACGAATGGTTGATTACTGACAACATTCAAAAGAGATGGAATATCTTCACTTTAAATGTTTAGATTGCCAAAGCTGTATAGAAAAAATAAAAATGCAATAAAAACTGTTTGAAAACTACTTTGCACATCATGCTTAGACAGAATTTGTTCTAACCATGATTTATTGAATACAATTGTTGGATTCTCACATGGGTAGCTTCACACACTGCATTAAAGTACATGCTGCTTGCAAACTGCAGTGACCGCATAAAATGCTTAGCCAAAACTCAGTAAGCTACATTCTGTCTCATAGGTAGGTATTCAAATGCAACCCCAGATAAGAAATCTATTTCCAGAAGTAATGAAAGCAGTAAGCTGGCAGCCGTAGGTTCAATCCCACCCATAATTTACCAGTAGATCAGTAGAAACTGAACAAAAACATCCTGAGTTAACTCATTAGAAGCAATGAGGTAATGTTTAGATAATTCACAAAGCAAAGTAGAATCAATGCTGATTTCAAGAACACTATCCTTTCTTTGTTGGATCTGACAGAGCCAAAAAAAGGAGTGGCACTTGGGGTACATTGTAAGCAAGTAGAGTTTGTTGTTACTAAACCTGAGGTATCTCTATTAAGATATCAACCTTAGCGTTGTTTTTCTTTGCTTTATTATGCTATAAACATTGCACTGATATTTTAATGATAATACTTTGGAATTATTGCTAGTTAAAGGATGATCAGAATTTCACTTAATGGCACAATTCATTCTTTGGGAGGTTGGAAAGATTGCAGAAAATTATGTTACTATTCAGAATAGAAAATAGGCGGATGCTTTTATTAGAAAAAAATAACTATATTCTAGGTAGTCCATTCACAAACTATTCAGGACACTTTTTTTGTGCTCTACTAGAATCCAAAGGAGAGGTTATAAATCAAATTCTTGGTCTCCCTGGGTTGTCATTTCCCATAAAAGATTAAGATTGAGAACGGAGGTTGGTTAGACAACTAAATCTCACAAAAAGAAAAACATTCTTGCAATGAAAGGTAAAGAGAGTAGAGAGAGAAGAGATGCTTGCAACAAGTTCAGCCTTCTCAGAAAAATAAGCATTAGAATTACCAGAAGACAATTCATTTCAGTAGCAGTTCCATTCTCATTCCTTTTTTTTTTTTTGCCTCAGTCTTCTGTTTAATTAAAATCTGCATCTAGACTTCCTTTTTCTGTCCCTTCTTATCTTTTTGAATTAGCCTTTGTTCAGAATGGATAATTTAAAAGTCATTCACCCTATTTCTTTCTCAGATCCTTTAGTGGCAAACATAAGAGATGGTCCTGCTATGTCTGTAGATGTATGTGCACACAAATACAGACCCATAAACCCCACCATCACATACAGATATGATGGAATTGGACATCTGCTCCTTGTGCTCACTTCATAGCAACTGCATATGTTTGCCACTAGGCAAAGCTCCTTCTGAAGACAGGGCTTCAAAGTCTCCTGTCTAGATCAAGGACTCCATGAATTCACGATTTATTTTACAAATACAAACAGAGAACAACTTACCCACTTAAATTATCTTCTGTATTTGTCTTTTTATCTCTGAAGTTTTGCTTACCCAGTGTTCTTCCAGTGATAAATGGCCAAATATGTTTTTTAATGTCTTCCAAAGCAATTGTGAAAAGCAAAGTGGAGAAAATGGTGCTGTTTGGTTTCAAAGAAACTGGGGATTAGATGAACTTTAGATCCAGATTTGTGGTCTGAAGGTTTCTAGCATCATCCAGTCATACTATCTTTGCATCATGTATTTTTGCTAAGCATAGTGTTCCTCATTGTGGTTGCTTTTATTTCTAAGCCACAGCTCAAAAAGAAAAACAAGCACTTAAAGGGGAAAAATATTACCAGAAGGGTTATCTAGTGTCTTAGATAACCTGGCTTATCTGTTCTTTGCCTTGGCATTGAAAACAACAATGCCAGTTCCATGAGATATAAGTTTTTTTTTCTCATTCTCATCTTTTCCCCAGTGGGTAATAAATGCCATTTCTGCTGGAAGAAGGTCGAGATAAAAAGGGCAGGTCTTTAATTGAATTTCAAGGGAATTTCCTGCCCATTAAGTTTAAAGTCGAAAAGATAAATTATTTCATTATTTAAATTCAACTGTGCCATTCTTTTCCAAAAAAGCAGCTTTACAGCAAAACCAATATTTTTTAGTTTCTCAGAGACTGACAACATTTATAGCATAAAATGGCTGTAAAAGGCAGTGTTCTGGTGTGCTTCACAACCAAATGAGAATCCAGTGGTGGGAGAATAACCACATAAATGACCACATAAAAGGGGGCGGTCCCACGGGAAGCTGGCAGAACCAATGGGAGACACACCTTCGCTGTCATGGAATCCTTCATTTCAAACTCTTTCCCTTATTCACATCAATTTTCTCTTAATAGAGTCTGAAGCAGTGGTGGGTTGCTACTGGTTCGCCCTGGATCAGGCAAACTGGTAGCAGTGGCAGGAGGCTCCGGTCACCTGTCCGGACGTCTCTGCGCATGCACAGAAACGGCATGTGCACGCGCGCCCATGAGCGAACCAGTAGCGAATGAAATTGAAACCCACTACTGGTCTGAAGGTTGGATGGCATGAGGGGAAACATCACTTACAGAACCACTGCTTAAAGCTATTCTCAGGGTGTCTCAGCTGCAGATGGAAGTACAAGTAGTAGCGGCTTTGGATATTTTCATTGGAAGTGGCTAATGGGCCATTCTCACTCAAGGCAATGAGTACTCTGGATTTGTCATAGGAGGCATACAAATAATGTAAAATCTCTCAAAACAATACTACTGTATGTTAATGTTAAAATTAACTTTTTCTCTCTGTCTCATTTTTCCTCCCTTTCCTTCTATTCTCAGGCTTTCTTAAATGAGAATGATTATAGAGCTTCATTCTAATCTGGATTTCCAACTGCTAGACAGAGAACCAAAACAGCTTGGAGACCATAATGGATGGCCTGTTTGTCATTTCTTTTTACTCTGAATTCCTCAGAGTAAACCAGAGGTGGGTTTCAGCAGGTTCTGACCATTTCTGGAGAACCGATAGCTGAAATTTTGAGTAGTTTGGAGAACCGGTAGTAAAAATTCTAACTGGTCCCACCCCCATCTATTCTCTGCCTCCCAAGTCCCAGCTGATCGGGAGGAAATGGGGATTTTGCAGTAATCTTCCCTCGGTATGGGGAGGAAATGGAGATTTTACAATATCCTTCTCCTGGAGTGGGGTGGGAATGGAGATTTTACAGTACCCTTCCCCTGCCACGCTCACCAAGTCATGCCATGTCCACAGAACCGGTAGTAAAAATTTTTGAAACCCACCACTGGAGTAAACCATCCCAGTCTAGCTGCTATGCCATGTTCCTCTCCCATTCCAGAAGAAAGTCACGCTGCCCTTCAGTGTCCTGACCACTCATTTGGACTGGGTGTATATTGTACTGCTGACCTACAGTTTTAACATGCAACATTCTGAAGTTGAGATTGGGGGTCCCTATTCTAAAATCCCAGCCCCGCCAAACAAAATCCATTATGTGAAAAGCTGCCTCAGAGCCTTCTGAACAGTTGTGTCCTATTTGAAATCCCAAATTTTGGAATTTGATTGCAAGCAATGTTCTGATCAATTTTAAAGGTAGCCACTACAGAGGCAGTGGAGTAGTGCAAAATTACACTGCTTTAGTTTGGCAATTCGGAGATAAATATATTTTGTTATTTTTTGAATCATTAAAATGAATCATGTTCTCCTGCCCTTCAAGTTCTACAATATCTTTCAGTTGCAGGGCAAGAGTAAAGAGCAAAGGTCTGGATGGGGAGGACTTGGCTTTGACTCAACCCTGGAAGACCACACGGACTCAGATGATATTCCATCCTTGACACTGGAGAGTGTGACACTTCCTTGGATTGAGCTGGTGCACAATTGGGGGCTCCTTCTGAACTCAAGACTGCTGCTTAAGGAGCAGCTAGCATCCATGGCTAGGGTGGGGCTTTGCATTGATTCATCTAATGTACCAATTGCATCCCTTCCTGGACTGCAAGGTCTCTCCCATGATAACTCCCCCTTTGGATTGCTGCAATGCACCCTACATGGGGCTGCCCTTGAAGGGCACCCAGAAACTTCAAATAGTCAGAATTCTATTTATTTATTAAATTTATATGCCACCTATCTTGCCTAGAGGCAACTCTGAGTGGCCTACAATCATACAAATAAGATGAAACATTAAAACAGTAAATATTAACACTAAAATTGCTTAAAATTGACAAAATGGAAAGAATCAAGATACACACAGGAAGGAGATTGGATCTTATTTTAGTCCATTAACCACCTATAAAATGATACCTCCATTGGGTTGGAAGGCAAAAAGGGGGGTACAATATTCCAGAGGATGGGAACCACAGCAGAAAAGACTATTATCCTGGACCCCATCAGTTAATAAATTCCAGCTGATGGGGTCCAGGATAATAGTCTTTTCTGCTGTGGTTCCCATCCTCTGGAATATTGTACCCCCCTTTTCGCCTTCCAACCATCAGTTAATAAATTCCAGCTGATGGGGTCCATAGCACGGCCTTTCTGCCAACACAGTTGTAGTGGGCCAATCCCATTGTGCTGAGATGGTTCCTCAGGTAAATTAGTTCCATGCCATGAGGGGCTTTAAGATGATAATTCAACACCTTGAATTGGACCTGGAAGCAAACGCAACTAGCGCAGTCTGCAGAGCAACATGGATCACCCTAGGGGACTCAAAAACTGTCTGCATGGCTGTCATCTGCACCAGCTATAATTTGTAAATATTCTTCAAAGATCGCCCTATGTAGACTGTGTTGCAATAGGCCAAGCATGATATGACCAAGGCTTGATTGACTGAGTGTAGGGACTCCTGATCCAGGAAAGGACACAACTGGCACACAGCACATGGTTGCACAAAGGTTCTCCTAGCCATGACTGCTACCTGTTCTTTCAGCAGGAGTC